TCCTCTTTGGTGCACATTATTACCTTCCCACTTGTAGGCTTTGTGGATTTCGAATGAGAAATCAGAAGGACATCAATTTCCATTACTACCTTTCCTTTCTAAAGGAATTTTCCTGTATCATCCCAAGACTGGACTGAAAAACCCCATTCATAGATTGAAAGATACAGGCACTGTTTCTGTCCAGCCCTTCTTGGACTGAGTTGATGCTTTCAATCAGGAAAAGTCTCGATTGGACTAGTTAATATGGTGGAGTATGTGCACACACTTTTTGTCCTCCCCTCACACCCTGTCTGAAATGGCAAGAAACAAAGAAGTGGGTGAATCGGCAGCTCTGACACACACAGGGTTGCCGTTCAGTCTTCAGAGACTCGGCAGCAGCCACAGCTCTGACTGTAAAACTTATCTTTCTGCATCATCTGGAAATGGCAGGTCAAGAGACCTCCCAAGGCAGTGTCTTTGATGCTATATATACTGCAAACTTTTCTCTGAAAAGCTGCCTGATATTTTCTCACTTTATGAGAGACTAGAGAAAACTGCACACACTTGAGCTGTGCAAGGTACTCGTGCTTCACAGCTTGTCTTTGCAACCTTTGCCTCTTCAGTGGGACAGAACTCGCTGAGTGAGGCACAGAAATTAATTCTGGGTCCTCAGCACTGTGAGGTGCCTGATCACCTGAAATATGCTGGCTCTGGAGGCACAGAGGAGGAAACAAAAAATGTATTTTACGTTTGTATTTAACTGGTTGTTTCTAGAGAAGGAATGTGCCAGGGCAGTGAGTTTCTTGCATTTTGGCAGGGTCTATCTAGAGAACCATCTGAAAACAGTGGTCTCTTTTTGTATGACTCCTGCCTATTTTGTTTCATTGGCAGTTTAAACTCTTCATAAGAGTTCAGGTTAGTTTCTCGAGTAGGTCCTGTTACAGCAATATTCATCTGTGCTCTTTAATGTCGTACACAGAGATCTTCAAACTAGAAGAAAGGAGGGCATTTTGTCTTAAATAAAATACTGAGCTGTTTCTGCTCAACTCTGTTTGAGTTCTATTTTCCCCTCCTTTTTAGACAGGATCTTGAATAGATTATAGAGTCATAGTCCAGTGTAGCACTTCATCATCAATTTCCAAGAAATGCTGTATGTTACTACTTGGTTTAAGTGTTACAACCAACCTTTTTTTATTCCAGTTCCTCTGATACAAAAATTTTGGTGCTGTGTATGCAGCTCTAATCTGTTAGCCCTCAGCAAACACTTAGGCTATTAGAACCAAACCCAGCAAACATTTAAACTACTATAAATAAATCAGCTTTCTAAGTGTTATTGGTTTCTCATGTCATTAATAACCCTACTTATCAGGATAGGCTTTTCTGGTCAGTATTACTAGTTGACTTTTACATATTTTTATCCAAAAACAAAAGTAATTTTCTACAGGTAGGATAGAATATAAAAAAAGAGCCCCCAAAATCTTACTATTTGCATTTCTTAGACTGTAAAATTAGAGGCCTGTGATTTTACCAAGATATGTTGCATTGTATTTGCAATGTGAAATAAACTCTCACACAGATTTACCAGTTTGAGGTTTTTTCATCTCAGAGGAATTAATCAGATGTCATGCCTGTGAACTGGAGAAACCACACACAGACCTCTGTGACACACACAGACACCACACACACCTTCTCCTCCTGGCCAAAATTCTTCATGGGACTCGTTCAGCGTTCTGTTCCCTTACCCCTTTCCTGCTTAAAACCAGATGGTAAAACCGGGGAGCCCTGTGCTGAACACCCCTTGCAGTCTGTCCTTGGTCACCAGCACTGTTCACCCTCTCAGCTGGAATTCTGTGGGGTGTGTGGGAATGGTACTGATGCTGTCTGTGGATGTGGAAACTGGTCCTGACTGTAAATAGCTTGGAAATTTGAACTCCTGCTGAGAGTATTTATGAAGCTGTTCTTCGGTACCTTTCAGCTGTGAGAAAGGCAGGGTCACTCATCCACCTGAACTGCTCTGAGGCAGCTGTTGCTGCTGCAGTGCTTTGCCATCCTTGGCTAAGCAGCTTCCTGTTGGGACCACTGATCCGTGCAACATCACTGTCTTTGACAGAAGTGGCTGTGTGCTGTTTTGTGTGTGCCCAAACCTACTTCCAAGTGCTGATTTTGAGAGAACTGTATTGGGATAGCTTAAACTGAGGGTTGAGGTGTGTGTATGTGACAGTTAACTGTTCAATAACTAATTATTCAGTTTTTCTATCATCCTGTAGGTAAACTTTGCTTTCACGATGTAGTTTTACAGATTTTAATTTTGGGGATAATTTTCGGCCTAGGCATCAGCTGAGCAAGGAGGAGATGTCAGTCCCATAGTTGGATCTGTTGTGAGCCTGGCAGGGTGGAAAAATTAGGATTGCTTGCAACACATTGTGTATTTAAAGTTTCTGACTGTTTGCTGCAGGGATCCTAAAATGCTGTTGGCCGTAACTGTAGTTAGTGGCTGTTAATGCTCTTGGGGCTGGTAGGTTCAGTTCAGGGCAGGTTGAATTTTTAAGCTTCCATTGAATATAAAGTAAGGTATTTGGGAAAGGCAGTAATATGAAACACACTCAAAACTGAATCTGTGATTGGCTACTGTTTCTTTACTTGCTAATCACAGATTGGAAGATTGTACGTCACAAAAGGAATCAAGACTACTGGCTAGGGAGTCACCTATCCAGGGGGAGGAATCATGGAAAGCTGTGTGTATCCAGGGTGTAGAAAAAGGAAGAAAATAAAAATAATGGGCACATGTGTACAGCAAAAAGCCCATATGACTTTCATGGGTAGAAGCTGTGCTTTCTAAATTGTTAGGTGTTTTTTGAAATTGGGAGAGAGGGGTGGAGAAAAAGGCAGGTGGTGTCTGTGTAGCATTTAGGAAGTATGTATTTGATATACCTTTGTTAAAGCAAAAAGCCTGTTGAAAAGATCTCTAAAACTTTGTTTTTAACTTGGAAGACAAATTGGTCAGTTTTAATAGTAGGTGGAGACAAATGGTTGGAAAAAGATTTTTAAGGAGTTTGTGTTTGGGATGTGGTATTTGGCATTTTTATAAATGTTACCTTGCTGGTATCTCTGATACGAGTTTGCTGATGAAACCAAATTACTCAGGGTAGTTAAAACTAAAACTTAACTGGGAACCATTACTGAAGAGAATGTGGTGTTTTCACTAAGGCAAGACTTTTTTTTTTTTTTAATTGAAAAATGCAGTGGAATCCACTTGGTGGGTGAGAAGGGGAAATCTAAAAATGGCAAATATCTGTGATGATTTCAAAATGTATCACAGAAAAAAGCTGCTAGCACAGTAGTGATTAAAAAAGATACAGACAATTCGAGAAGTCAGTAGTCGAGACTCCTAGAGCAAAAGAACAAACGTGCCAGTTATATCTTCTGATTTTGAATAAAGATGTAGTTTTTCTTTCATCCATCTCAGAATGTGTAATAGAATAATACAAGTTACGTAAACATGATGGTCAAAATAGTGGAACAGTACCTCCACCTTAAAAGCAGAATGGTTTAACATAGAAATTATCTACAAGAGTTGGGAAAGAGAAAGGATATGATAAATAATGGAAAATTATAAATATTATGTATATCTGAATAGGAGATGACTTTTTTTTAAAATAACGTAATCAGATTTTTTTTTCTTGTACTTTGCTCAGAAGAATATTTAAAGAGTTACTGCTGCATAGTGGGCAGTATTAGCAGAAGTGTATGTATATGGTCGGGGGAAGTGACTCTTAACTGTACTTGGCACCGTTAAGACTGTGGATTACTGGGACTCATCCCAGTTACTCACATACTGGAGAGTCTCCAAGGTGGTTAGGATGCTGAAGCAAATGCAATATATGGAGAGACTGAGAGAGTGGGTTTCTTTAGTTTTAGGATAAAGGAGGGCAGGGTTGTTGCTGTGTTCAGTGGTCTGGTAGGGAGGTTTAACAGTGGAGGAGGCAGAGTCATCTCAAACCTGCAGCTGTTGAGGATGAGAGGCAACAGACAGAAGTTGCAATACTGGAAATTCTGATGAGATGTTGGGAAATTTTCTCCCTCCCGCACAGCAAGGTTAGTCAGACATTGAGAAAATTGTTCAGAAAGGTAGCAGAAATTCCAACCTTTGAAAACACCCATTAACAACTCCACTGGTCAAGACCACAAGCAATCTGATCTCACTTGCTGCTGTTTAAGGAGACTTGACTACCTGGTCTTTTGAGGTCCTGCCAAAGATGAGCTGCTCTGTAATGCTGTGGCTTTGCAGAAGACAAAACATAAAGGTCCTAAAAGGCAGTGAACAGGCTACCAAGATAAAAAAAAAGGTGTATCAATAGCTATTTAATGAGGAAGAACATCTTGTCTCCATGCCGTTTTTCTCGTATGTGGAAAGAACACACTCTTTGCAACCCTTTTCTGATCATTTGATACTTTCTCTGTATCTGCTTAGGTATCTGCTGGAGGGCTGATGAAAATGACCCCTGCTGGCCACCGGCTTCCCTCTGCTGCCTCTGGCTTCTCTGGAAAGTTTAAAAAAAACTCAGAGCATTAGTTTAGGCAATGCATGTGAAAGACACTATGCTGGGGCAATGTGGGAGTACCCTTAAACCTGTAAAACTTGTGTTTTGTATTCTTTTTTAAGGATCTAGTGCTGGTGGGGAATGGTGGTCTTTTTTTTCCTTCTCTTCTGGGAAATAAATATAATGAATGACAGATGAATGTAGTTTAAAAATTACTTGGTAATCACCTAAGAGCTAATTTTCTGACAAGTCCGTGAACGGGAGAATTTTCCATTCTTCCCTTTTGTTCCCAGTGTCCAGAAGTTACACTGTCAAGTCATAGTAGCTGTTTCCTAACTGTACATAAATAGTAAGTTTGTTTAAGATTCTCTTTTCACCCTGTCTAAATATATCTGAAACAAAAGAGCTACAGTTTTTATTTGTTCTGTTAACATGCAACAAATACCAACTTGGGTTCGGTTTTCTCATTGTGTCCTGCAGTATAAGCAGCACTATCATGGACGTGGACAGCACAATTTCCAGCGGGCGTTCCACCCCGGTTATGATGAACGGACAAGGAGTTCCTGCCTCCTCTGCAAAAAGCATTGCCTATAACTGTTGTTGGGATCACTGCCATGCCTGCTTCAGCTCCAGCCCGGATCTGGCGGATCACATTCGCTCCATACACGTGGATGGGCAGCGAGGAGGGGTTGGTGTTTCTTTTCCCTCTTTCTTATTTGCCAGTGTTTTGCTTTGGAATGACAGTAGCAAATTTAGTGTTTCGATATACCAGTTTCTGACTAGTGGCAACTAAGGTTGGGCCTTGTTCAGTCTTGTGTTTGGCATTCAGCTGTTGTCCTTTGCATAGTTCACTTGATTTGTTATTCATGTTTTTAACTGAATGCCTACCTTAAAAAATACAGTAAGTTCTTTGGAATAAATGATTTGAGACTATCAGGTTTTTGATAGGGTGTTAACTTCTCAATATCCTGGAGCTGCTGCTGTGCCTTTAAGTGCTTATACTTTCTTAAAACTGTTAGCGTATGTGTTGCTGCCTGTGAACTCAGGTGAAGTCACATCTTAATTACTGTTACAAATGGAGTCTCATGACAGGTAAAACGCATCCAGAATGTATAATTGGGAGGATGTAAGACTGACTAAAGAGTGCAAAGTCCTATCAAAACAGCCCTGTGCATAATACTGATGGCAAGTTTACCTTCAGAATAATTGTGTCTATTTTTTTTTTTTTAATTGAGGTGCATATATAAACATCTAAATTTCACTCTAATCCCTGGTCAAATGATAATTGGTCTCAATGTAATGTTTCAAAACATCTTGCAGTAGAGTAATTTCAACTGCGTACTTAAATACCTGCCCCTCCCCAGCCTTCCAAATTACCTTTGAGGCCTGGAATATATCATGTAAACTACTTTTACATCAAACACAGGCAATCTGCCTGCTCTGAGTGCTGGATGTGGCAGCTCTTCAATTTCTGAGAAAGACAGTATTAGTTCTTAAAGGAGAATAGTCGTTGTCTTTTGACTTTTTGTCCTGTCACTTCTTCAGAAGGAAAAATGTTAGGCTGTTACACTCGATCTTGAGTGAATGAGAAATTTAAATAAAATGCTAATTTGCATTACTTTAAATAATTTTCATGCAAATGGGTCACTGACAGCCAGGACTCTGGTTGTATTTAGCTAATGATTTTTGATATGTTTGAACTTTTCAGCTTCATATTTGGCTTTTTTCAGTCCAGACTCTAAGGAGAATCAGCTTTTTAGCAACTCACGAGATGATGTCTGAGTTCTGTTTGTAGGTTTATAGAAGTCTTATGTGAATTTTGGATGAAATGGATGAGATGTATTCGTATCCTGTGGGCCTTCATGTAACTGTATCTCTGAGAACCTTTGTTTTCTCATCCATGACCCCTTTACATTTCTTAAAAAGGCACTGGAAGATTTTTCAGGTTTTGATTTGGGTTTTTTGGGGGATTTTTTTTGTGTGTATTGTGTTTCTGGTCACTTACAATCGATGTAACAAGATTTGTGGGTAATTTTGAATGGAAAAGGTTAGCCAGTATTTGTCTTCTTGAAAGAGGAGGCTATTGGAAACAGGGAGTGTCTAATAACTTGCATTCAGGTCACACTTTTTAATCCTCCTGCTAGAGGTGGTTTATTTTTTGAAAAGTTCCAACTGGGTGCTGCAGAAGAGGGAGGGATCCTGGTGGATTTTTTTCAGGGATTTGTCTGCCACCTGCCGGTGAGGGGTTTAAGTGTGTTAGAAATTGTATTCTTATGGCTTTGATTGGATTTCAGGCTAATACTTAACTACAGTGACTCTAAAGTTAAAGAAAAGCAGGGATTAGAAATTTGACAGCAGAAAGGAATGTGATAAACATCCTTGAATGGTAAAATGTATATTTGCAAGCTAATACTGAAATAATGGCTCCAGTCCAAACTAGATTCATCCATGAAAAGCCCAGGAAACTTTTTGAGGGATTGCATTTCCACAGTCTGTAACTTCACACCTTTGTCAAGTGCCCTGCAGTTGCTGATGGAAATACTGGGACTGTTCTGGAGCTGCTGCAGAGGCAGGGATCCTGGAAATTCCAATTCTGTTGCTTTGGGGGATCTCAAAACTGAGGAGTGGCAGCCATCAAAGGTTTAGGGGGCTGGGCCTGTCAGTAGGTCTGACTCAGTCATACAGACATTCAGGGTTTTCCAGCTTTGTATTAGTAAAGCTGGGCTATCTGTCTATTATACAGCGAGTACGTAGCACTCCTGTGGCTGCTCTTTTGTTTTGAAAATACAATCTTTTGAAGATTGAGGGTTTTTATTCTCCAGAAGAGAACAAGAAACTCAAATCCAATTAGTTTCCTGCAGTTCTGAAAACCTGTATTGTGGACAGTGCTGTTTCTGGGGACTGTATTTTGCTGTGACAAATTAGGGCTTTACCTCCCTTCACACACAGACCTGTTGAGGAAATTCTAATGAAAGGCAAGTTCACTGAGCTTTTTTATTCCCTCAGTTATAGATAAACACAATGAGAGGAGAGAGAAAAGCAGCATGAGTAAGTTCTGCTCCTGTTAATGCACTATTGTGCATGTGACTGGTCTGTACACTGGAATCACAAAACACCCATACATTTTGAATCCTATGAAAAATGGTAACTTTGTTCATCAGGAATTGAATATAAGGTCCTAACTAGAGGTATCCATTATTCCATAATACAACTGTATTGCAACTCAGAGTTTTTACGTTTTCATGCTAAAGAATGAAATTATTAGTCGTTTATAAGAGTAAATACTTTTATTTCTGTATCTACTACCCCAGAAATGTAGACTTTTAATTTTAAAAATGTTTTGTTTCAATGTCTGGTGGGTACAGAGACTGAGTGCAAACACCAACTCCTTACAGCAGATCCTGGGACTTCAGTTGTGTTTATCTGCAGGAGCATCTGTGTTTTGATATTTTATTCCAGTGACCTGTTTTTATTGAACACTTGTGGTTGTAACTATTTTGTCTCTGGTGAGATATGAGAAGTGTATTGCAAAAGAAATGGTTATTGTTCAAAATCCTTTGGTGCATTGTGAAATATGGTGAAAACGGGCCTCTTTGCTTATCTGTCTTATTATTTACTCTTATCCTTGACTTTCATAAACTTGCCACGTTTTTACTCTATCAGGTGTTTGTTTGCTTGTGGAAAGGTTGCAAAGTATATAATACACCTTCAACGAGTCAAAGCTGGTTGCAGAGGCATATGCTGACACACAGTGGGGACAAACCTTTCAAGGTAAGGTTCATTGTGAGATACGACATCTCTTATTTTAAAAGAAATTCAATTTATTTTTCGTGATGCAATATGTCAATTGCAAAATATCATCACAGGAGGATTTCTTAAGAAGCACCCAATGAGCTGAGCCTTCATCTTTGCAATAGTAGTGCCTAAAGGCCCTGTTCTTTCATGGAAACAGGTGAAGATACTGCTATTGCTTCTGTTTCCCTGTTTCTTTTAATCTATAAATGGCAAGAGAGTATAAAACTAAATAGTACTTAAGTTCAGTGGTTTTGTGCATTTTCAGTTGAGCTGCTTGCACTCTAACCCTGAGATATTTTATATCATACTTTGCACTTCCACATTAAACTTTGGATCATGGCTGATGGTGCCCATTCTGTGCTTGAGTAAGAGCTGGTTTTGTTAAATTCACTTGAAACACTGTCAGTGATTATTTATGGTGAACTTCTCTGAAAATAATAAGGAAGTCAGGAATGCAGGGCCGTTGAGCTGACTGTATTTCCTGCACAGGATTTTCTAACTTTCTCTTTCTTTCTCCCCCTAACCTGTACCTGCAATTCTAGGTATAGTAGTGTTTATCATTCCCATATCCACCAATCCGTTATTAATGAGTTGCTTCATCCTCTTATGGATACAGTTGGGGCAGTTCATAGCTGTCAATCCTGGATCACTCGATGGTAAGTCCCACCCACACTACTTCAGACTGAAGTTCTCCTTCCATGTAGGATATGAAAATGAGATAGGTTTGGTTTTTTTTAAGTTTAGGTAGCATTTTTTGCCTTCTTCTCCCCCACCCCCAGTCCTGTGAACTTTTAGTCACTGTTTCTCCGCTTCCTTTCCTCTCTTTTCTCTCAGGTAATATCTTCTGCTTTTTTTTAAATTTTATTTTAAGGCAGCTTTATTACTAAAAATACTTTTCTGTTACAGTGGTGTCTTCCAGAAGTTACTTGTTCTATATAGCTTTTAACGGTAGTTATGACAGAAAACAAAACTAAACTCAAAACCTAGAAAGTGAAAATGGTGCATTTCCTTGCACGTGAAAAAGATTTTTTTTAATAAAGGTCAGACTTTTTTTTTTCCATGCTGAGCTGTGTAGTTGAGTCTGAAAATTTCTGGCTTGGAGAGTGACTAAAAATAGGAAAACCGGTTTTGAGGTGGTTATACCCTTCGCTCAAAGGAGTAAGGTTAGCATGCTTTCGGAACATAATAAGGATCATAGACCCCTGAAAGCTTGCAGATATGGTTGTTACAGGAACTAATCTTAATCTCTGAATAAAGAAAAAGAAAAAGCAGAGGGAACTTCAGGTTTTCTCATTTTTGGGATTAAATATTTTATATACCTTAAAGTGTAATAGCAAGCTTTGGTCTTGAATGACAGTCTTTTGATAGGATAATTTGTATTGTTATTTGGTCTAGATCAAAGAAACTCAGTTTTAGAGATGTTGGGTTGAAGAGGTGGACATAGCTCAGAAACACCAGGAGTACTTTTTCTGTCAGGGTTACCTGGCAAAGTTGGTATCCTAGTTTTTGGGTAGGCTGGTTGCAGCTGGAGCCCTGAAATTTACGGTAATTACTTCTAATAATACCTGTTGTTTCACCAGCTGATTTTCTGGACTTTCTGGTCATACTAAGGGAGAGAACAGAGCAGGCAAGGATTGCAGTAGTTAATCATCGTGGCTCAGTGTGTGTCACTTGAGTGGATTTTTCCTACTGTTGTCTTGAGTCCCTCTTTTTATCCCTGTATTTCTCAATCTGTTCCTGGGAGCTTTGAATGGAGGATAATTGTGGTCTCAGTAGAATTTTGTAACATCTTTTGTTCCCCTGTCACTTATGCTGAGTACAGGCTTCAGGGCTCACATGAGGTAGCCAAGTACGTAAGTGTCTGTGGTGGCAACCTATTAATTAACAAACCCCTTTTCCTCACTTGCTTCATTCTTTTACTAACTTTTGAAATCTACTCTCTGATATAAAAAAACCCACGCAAAGAGTTGGATATTAATCTTGATCAGTCCAAGAACAGCCTTTATGAATTGTTTTGCGGCAGTCCATCAAAAATCGGGCAAATGTTTCCTTTTGCATTTTGCTGTTCTCACAAATCTTAATTGCTCACCTCTTTAGGGGAAACCAAATTTTTTCAACTAATGGTTGGTTTAAGGACCTCTTGTTCTTGATGATTATTGCAGACAAAATATCTCCCAAAACCTAAATTGCAAATGAAACTTCAGTTGCCTCATTAGGATATATATACTTGAGTCCTGGCACAAAAGGAAATAATGTATCATTTTAGGAAACATGGAGAAAATACCTAGTTGTTCAGTGTTTGATTAAAAAAAAATAAGTAAGTGAATTTTGGGATTTTTGAGGAAAACTGTACAAGGCAGTGATGGTGATAGTACAGTTCTGTGGTGGTGTATGAAGACCTGCTGTTCAGGATGTTTTAAGGAAAAGCAAAGAATATTAGCTAGGAAAGGGACAACTAAAAGCATGGAAAATTTGATTTTGTAAAGGTAAAAGTGCACTATAGTCTTGTAATGACCAGAAGAGACTAGTGAATCTATGGCAGGTTGATATATTCTTATATTTCTAGTGAAAATAAGAGACAGAATTATTTTCTTAAGTTGAAAAGCTGTTGGGGACTGTCTGAGGCATAACCCTCTCCTTGGCAATAGAACTAATCTGTTGAAGGATATATCCCTGTCCAGTCACTCCTTTGTTTGCAAGTGGACTCATTTTGTGTAGTTGCACATTTTGGGTTTAATTATGTAATTTTGTGATCCACGTGGTGGTGTCCTTTGACTCCATTCAGCTGTAAAGAAGCTACAGTGCTTTCATATTAAAATGCCCTTGTGGCTTTACATGCCCTTGTCATGCATTCCTGTAAACTTGGTGACTCTGTAGTTCATTTGTCACAAAAATAAACCCACTTCTAAATTGCAAAGGCAAAAGGTTTCATATTTTCATAAATTTATTGTATTTTTTTCTGTTTGTGTGGTTTAGTATATCCCCTTCAGCATCAGTTTTGCAGTACCTGTGTCACACAAAAGGTAAAATTTGAGACCTTTGTTATTCTAACTCCATTTTTATGTGGGGCAGTATTCTGGTAGTGTATGTCCAGCTCATCTCTGAGTCATCTGCTGAACTAAGGGGAAAAGAAAATAAACATATCCTGGATCTTTAGGCAGAATTTAGGACCTAATGGCCCCTTTAGTTGTCATATTGCTTTTCTGTTCATTCCCTCCGATTTTTTCTAAGTTTTTAATGCTGATGGTCTTGTGTTTCATGTAGAACAAGTGGATGGGTTTTTTGCCTGTTTTTTTGAGGCCATCATCACTGTTTTGTTACTTATAAAGTTCTTTTCCTAGGGGCACCTATCAGTCCTTCCACCAAAGAAAAGGTGTCTCTTAAAGGAGAGAGATTTACATTGCAGTTAGTTCTCAGGATGTAGTCAAATGTGATATCTGCAAAGCATGTGCTTTTTTAATCCTAATTTTGGTAAGCACCACTTCCTACATTTATTTTTTTGTCAAGAGCAACAAACAAGCAAACTGGTCTCACAGAATGTGTTTCTGATTGAGAACTTACCAGCCTTCTTTGGGCCACTGTTAAGTATTTTTGAAGTTATGCTGCTCCTCTAAATGCCTGAACTTCATTGTTCTTGTACTGCTGGAATTTTTCTCTTTGCTTATTACAGTGTGATTTTAACCAGCTTTTTTCTTTCCAATTTTTTTTTTTAATATTTTTTGTCATTTTAGGCATTGATTTAATATGAGTATTCCCTCCAGAGACCTCCAGTATGTTCATCTTTGTTTATGGTTTTACAGGCAGAGTTGAGAGAGAAAAACCTCAACGTTATTCTTTTTTAGACCTCTTATTACATAATTTTTTGCAACTTTTTAGAAGCTGGTGGAATGTTGTGGAGTAGCATCAGCACGTAGTGGTGGTCCTGTTGAGGGTTCAGCAATTTGACTTTCAGCCTTTCAGGCCACGTAGACAGGTGGATTTACAGGAATAATATGAGTTGGAAAACTGATGCCAGTGACTGTCTTTGGCAAACAGAGAAACAGTGAATGAAGAAATTTTCTCTTGTCCTAAACTTGGCTATTACAAATAATAAGTGTTTGAATAGTTAAGGAGTTGTGACAACCTGCATTTTGCAGCATGGTTTCTGGGACTCAGGGGGAAAACATACTCTCAAGG